TCACCGGGCCTCTCCCTCCTTCCCCGGTGACACACCGAGTTCTCCCTGGGCCGCACAAAAGAAACGCGTCTGGCCTGCAAGTCCCGCGCGGCTTGTGCCCACCTCGATCCCCAAATGACTTGTTTCGCTCAGAATCAACGGCTGTCTGGGCCCAGAGGTCCCCAGCCCCTGGGCGAGAACAGCTCAGGATGAGTGAATGTTCCCCGAGCAGGAGCGCACCGAGCGGGCGCCTCCGAGCCAGCCAGGGCAGGGGCAGAGCCCAGGGCCGGTCCGTCAGCTCCCAGCAGCGTCCTCGTCGAGGGGCCGCCCGCCCCTCCTTCCTCGGCCTCTTCTCCCGGGACCTGCGCCCGACTGAGTGACAGCAGCCTGTGCTCTAATGGGCCCCCGGATGCTGCCTCCTAATTAGCTTGGACCCTCTCCCCCAAGGCTGCTTCTTAGGCCCCCGCCTCTGCACCGCAGTCAATTTTCCGGGATTGGGATAGAACTGATGGCTCCTAATCAGACGAAACGTTTCTGTTGGCTCCAGTCCGCTGGCGAGTGCAGCAGGAGACCCCGAGAGCCGCGCCGGCCCCACGGCCTCTTCTATAGGGCTCCCTCTCCCCCCGTTTTGCACCTTTAACCATCTGACCAAATGCACTTGGCGGGGAGGGCCTTGGCAGCCACAGGGTGGGCCTGTGCCCCCTTCAGGGCAGGTTTGTAGCAGCTTGGGGCCTCCCCTTGGGATTCCCAGAGCTGCAGGCACAGGCCCGGCAGGCCAGGTGACGGCAGTTTCCCAACGCTGGGCCTGCAGCCCAGGAAGCCTGCAGTGGAGCTTCTCTCCTGGGCACAGGCAACGACATTCCCCTCCCCACCCCTAGGAACGACCCCCTCCTGAGTCCTCCTACTTCAGTGAAGTTTGTTGAAGGATTTTGCTCAACAATTGTTAACTGGTCTGGAGACCTCAGAGTCTTGAGTAAATAGGTGACAGCTGGGGTGATAGGATGGGGCCCTGACCTGTTTTTCTGGACGAAGCTGGACCCCAGACTGCCCTCTGCTCCTTACCTGCTGAGGAGCAGTGCTGGGCTGGACAGTGGCCTGGGGGAGAAACACTGCCCTGCTTTCCAGGCCCAATGCTTCTTCCCCCAGGGCCTAGTGCATCCTCGCCTCCTCCTCTGCTTGGGACTGAACGTGGAGGTTGTCTGTGTCTGGGATGCTCTGCAGGCACTGCCTTAAGCCCTCACTCTGGCTCCCCATCAGAGAGTTGTCCCAGGCTGAGCTCCTTGGTGAGGATTGCAGGGGCAGGTGTAGTGTGGAACCAGGCCTGCCTCTCACTCCCTCAGCCTTACCCCAAGGCCTGCAGCTCTGGGCCCGGGGGAGAAGGCACAGTTCGTTAGGGCCTGTCCCACTCTCACTGGGTGCCCCTCAACATAGGGGGCAGGGCCTGAGGCTGAAGCCAGATGCATCTAGGAGTG